GAAACTATTTGATAAAGTTGTATGGTGCTAGGTAGAGAAAGAATGTTAAAGATTTAAAATGAATTGTTTGAGATTGTTAGAGTATATGATAGTTCTGCGGACGATCGCGTATGTAAGCCCGTTGCAGAACTTTGCTTGTTGGACTACGGACGATCGCGTATGTAAACCCGTTGTAGTTCCATTAGGCCTTAGAGGGCCATGACGGGGAGGCAGACCCAAAATGCGAGAAATGAGTTGGCTCCGCCGTGATTTGTTAAGTAAAGAAAGTAAAAAGTTAAGTAAAGAATGTGAAAAGTAAAGAATGTGAAAAGGAAAGAAAGTAAAGAATGTGGAAAGTAAAGAATGTGAAATGTGAAATGTTTAAGTATGATAATGTATAGGTAAAAGAGATTATGGTGGAGAAATGTTAGGTATGAATGTTATGTTGCTAGTAATAAGTTGGGTGATGCATGTTCTATTTCTAGTTAATGTGTTTGATTGCTTATTGTTTTCAAGTATTAGAGTTGTTGCGGGTAACTTTCTCACTGAGTAATTTCTTCCCGGAATTGCTCACCCCTCTTTTTCCCTTTTAGTGTGTGCAGGTATGTTGCTTGTTGAGCAAGTTAGGGCACGAAACCTAGGGCTCAAAGTGATCGGGGAACGGGTGTTACACAATTAGAAATACTTACAAATAGGTTTTGAAACTTTTATAAAAACATTTTAAGAATATATATAAATATTTTGATATTTCAATTGGGAACTTAAATATGCTCCTACACAAAAAAATATGAAATTCTTTTGTATGCCATCATCTTCATCATCATTGTTCCTAGTGTTTAAATTCTGTAAAAGTGAATTGGTATACGGTAAAACTAATAGTAAAACCATTGGTGGCACACAATTTTTTCCTTTGTGTCGGTATTCCCTCCATTAGGCCAAACAAAATATGAGAACAGTGAAGAACTTAGAATTATGGAGAAGATTAAGTATAAATATGGAGAAAAAGAAGTCACTAAAATTATCATAATAAGTTGTCATAGGATAAGGCATAGAGATGATTCTAGTATAAATAGGAGTGGCTGGTGGCATTTATAAATAAAAAACCTAAGAAAAAACTATATAAGAGTGTTCACTTATAAACTACTCATGTACTAATATTTTCTAATAATAAAAATAGTTTGGAACTATTGTTTGTCTAATTCCTATTTTAATCACATTAAACAATATTGGGTAATTTTTCCCAACAATTGGAATTAGAGCAAAGTCATTTTACAACGTCGATATCTTGTGCAATTCAAGATGGAGGCTACCGTTTCCTTTGGAGGTGGTATGTTCAAACTCATATCGGATAACTACTCATATTGGAAACCGATGATGGAAGATCACCTTTACTGCCATGAAACAATCATCAAGAACAAGATGGAAGAAAAGGATGATAAGGCATCGAAGCTTCTGAATTGAAAAGCGATCGCTACAATTCGTAAGTACAATGATCGATCTCTTTTCGAACATGTCGCTACCTTGA